TTAATATAAATATAGACTGACTTCACCTGTGTGTAGCAATGGCAAGAACAATTAACTAAGTTAGCAGATCTAAGTTTTTATACCCTTATTAGCCACATGACTTGAAGTTACCTGACCTCTATGACCTTCAATTCCATCATGCATCACCCCCCCAAAAAATTTTTTTAAGATAATATCCCTCCCTCATAGAGATATTGTGGGGTCCAAGTTAAATATTATATATGAAAGTTATAAACTATAAAATACCACATAAATGTGCAGCATTAAAATTATTATCATATTTTATAAGCCTAAGAAGTGTTGCTACTTCATGAATCATGAAAAGGAATGTGAAACATTTCTCATAGAAATTGGGTCAGAAAACTAATGCAATCAGTTTTTTCAGGCAAATGTACAAATTAAATGAAAAATATGCAATTAGGTACATTAAATATATGTGTTTGAAATGCAACTTTAAATTCTCACCACAAATTTTCACTTTCCTTAAGAAAAAAAAACATTTAATTTCAACTTAATAACATTATACTTGGAGGAGAGGAGAGAATCAATCCAAAAATATATATTTTTTTTGTTTTATTAAAAACAAAGGGCAAAATTCACATGCAAAATAAGATCCTTAGTTTTTAACTACCAAATATATTTTTAAAGTAAACTACACAAGGGGTTGGATTCTCTTGAGTGGACAAATAGCCTTTATCATTATTTCAATTTGACAGGACCAACCCGATTAGGAAACTCTCCATTATTTGCAAAACAAAAAAGCCATCCTAACAGCCACATAATATGCAAACTGCATTTGATTTAAAAGGTCATCTGAATCAGCTGAGTGACTTAGCAACAGTGTTTGGAGTTGCTGAGAGACCTAAGATGCACATGGACTTGAATTTCTTCATCCTAGACATGTGAAAGCTAAACCAGTCACTGGGAAATTTACAAAGAAAAAGAAAAGTAATAATAGCTTTCATGAGAAATTCTAATTGCCTGGATAAAATTTCCAACAGTGAGCCTCACTTAATTGCTGGGAACAATTAATTTGCCTGAAAAATTATGTTAATCAGCTTCTTAGGAATTCCATTTCTGATTTATATTTATTTAAGAATAATCATTGGGATAACATAATTTCTTACCAATTAAGGATGGGGGGAAAATTAATACTTACAACAAAACCAAAATGGAAAAAACTGCTAAAGTTAAACCATTAATAGCTACTATTTCTTGAGTCTTCGTTCATTCAGCAAATGTTTATGGAGTGTCTACTCTGTGGCAGGCGCTGACTAGGCACAGGGAATTCAGTGAACAGACAAAAATCTCTACCTTCATAGGGCCCCTTTCCATAATAGTCTACCTACTCCCTGAAATAAACCTGTCAGGAAGTCACTATCTATATATAAAAAAGTCTAATATGCTAAGTGTCTGACTGACCGGTCGATCGCTCAACCAGTCACTATGACATGCACTGACCACCAGGGGCAGAGGCTCCAACCAGTAAGTTAGCTTGCTGCAGGGGTCCAGCTGATGAGCACTGGGCGAGATAGGCTGGAACACCCTGGAGCCCTCCCGAGGTTCCTCCCTGGCCTCCAAAATATTTCTTCTAATTAATTTCCTTTCAATGTGCATGAATTCGTGCACCAGGCCTCTAGTTTTCTAATAATATAAATTGGCAATCTGCCTGAGGCTACACAGCTAACTTGGTGAAAAAGGAAAAATAGCACCTAGGTCTCTCTGACTTCAAAGCCCAAGCTCTTAACCCTCAAATCATCAATCCAACAAATACAGATTGAACTTTCTAATCAGAGAAGCAGTCATGCTTGGATTTGTGTGAGGCAACCTTAGGAGAGAAGCATGAACATAAAGATATTTTCACATGGTTCCTTGGACATTTTCTCCACTGAGCCAAACCAGTTTCGGCTTAGACATTTTCTCACTCATCAACCAGAAATGTTTTCTAGCTGGCAGCCACTAAGTACACAGAACAGGGACAACCGAGGTGCTCCTTTACTTTGGGAATATGCTTCCTTCAGAAAAACAGGGGAATTCTGAATTTTTAAATCACTTAAATTTTTTGCTTTGAATTTTTCACCTAGCAACATATGGAAAAATATTTCTTTTAAAAGTAGACTTGCCATGGCAGAATGCTATACCAGCATTATCACACAGTCCTGCCTTTAAACTTGCACAAGCCTCTGAAGCCTTCCTCAGTTTCGTATTCCATTCCTCATCCTCATCAATACACTTATTGCACATTCATTATGTGACAGTCCCTGTTGCAGGTGCTAAAGACACAGAGATGATCAAGACAGTCTCTGTCATTAAGAAGTTCACAATCTCATGGGGCGGAAAGTTTGTTTTTATACTGAACTGTTAGAAAGTCCTTTCTTATACTGAACTAAAAGTTTTATAATTTCCACCTATGTGTTTCAATTCTTTCCCCCAAATTTTTCTCATAAAAAACCTATCTCCCTCCCTATTATGATGATGATTGTTATTTTGATGACCTGAAGAAAATAATTCAATAGGACAAATGGATAACTAAAATACATATCTATAATGATTGAATCCAATAAAAAAAAAAAAAGGACAATGTATTTAACCAAAACACATATATTAAAATGTTCATACAGACTCCACTTTATAATTCAACTTGAACTTCAGCTTTATAAGGTCAAAACAAGGAAGGGTACCTCGGAATGTTAGCATGCAAGAGAAATCCATATAAATACTACACAGAGTAAACAAAAAATTTCTTCTAGAGAAAAACAAAAAATCGACAAAGCACTTTCTCCTCTGAGGAACAATGATTGATAAGCTTGGAGACCCTAGGCTTGTACTTAAACTTTCTTCAGTCCTCTCTGTCCTTTTACACTTACCTAATTCCAAACACCCAAATTTGGCACCATTTCCTTAAATTCCCTAAAAAGATTTATTTGTCCAACTGTCACTTTTATAAGGCTGAGCTGAAGACTATAGCTGTGAAGAATCTTATTGAGCACAAGGAACAAATCTTAATGAAATTAAACAAAAAGAATCTTTAAGTTTTCCATTAAAGTGTTTCACCTTTTATTTTGGGTAGGTACCCTACTGGATCAGAAAATACCATCAACCCAATAAACTAGATTGCAAAGTGAGTGGTGCTATGGGCCTAAACCCAAGGAGTGATCCTTTGGTCAAAACATTACTCCTTACTTCTAAAAGCTATTGAGCATGTCCTGAAAATCAAATTTAACTCTTTAAAAAAAAAAATACATTTTATTGATTTTTTACAGAGAGGAAGGGAGATAGAGAGTTAAAAACATCGATGAGTCATCAATCAGCTGCCTCTTGCACGCCCTACTGGGGATGTGCCCGCAACCAAGGTACATGCCCTTGACCGGAATCGAACCCAAGACCCTTCAGTCCGCAGGCTGATGCTCTATCCACTGAGCCAAACCGGTTTCGGCCAAATATCTCTTATTTATAAACATTTGTAAAAGAATAACATTTACAATTTATACAATAGCTCCAGGTTAAGAGATGTGTATGGCTATCTCTTTACTATTTCCATACAGATTTGTCAGATATTAAAAATAGTTGCTATTTTTAATATCTGACAACCTGATATACAAGCCAAAACATGGAAATTTTGAAGTGGCAATCAGATACACTTAGTAAACTCAAATAACTCTGATGTGAACCAATACCACATAAGTCACTATAAGAGCAGTACAATGTAGAAGAACAAACAGGATTTTTGTGGTCAAACAGGCCAAGGTTGAAATCTGGTTTTATTAGTAACTAAAATAAAGCTGAATGAACTTTGGCAAGTGACTAAACACAGTGACCCTCACTTTCCTCCTCAGGAAAAAGGAACTATAACAACTACTTTATAGGATTATTGTAAGGGTTCAATTTTTGGTAATTTATTTAAAGTTCCTCATATAGTGCCTGGAACAGAACAGATTGGGTAACTTCAAAAGTATTTGTTGAATAGATACTAAAAAAGTTTTATTACTGTGAATAACAATAGTAACAAAAGTAAGGCAAATTGTGAACAAATGATGCTTCATTTTGTGCTAAGGAATTAAAATATATATATATATATATGTTATGCCCTAGCTCAGTGATTGACAAACTGTGGCTCTTGAGCCACATGTGGCTCTTTGGCCTCTTGAGTGTGACTCTTCCCCAAAATACCACATGCGGACGCACATGTACAGTGCGATTGAAACTTCATGGCCCATGTGCAGAAGTTGGTTTTCAGCTCTCAAAATAAATTTCAATCGTTGTACTGTTGATATTTGGCTCTGTTGACTAATGAGTTTGTCGACCACTGCCTAGCTGGTTTGGCTCAGTGGATAGAGCATCAGCCTGTGGACTGAAGGGTCCTGGGTTGATTTCAATCAAGGGCACATGTTTGGACTGTGGGCTCGAATCCCATTAGGGAGTGTGCAGGAGGCAGCCAATCGATGATTCTCTCTTATTGATGTTTCTCTCTCTCTCTCTCCCTCTCCCTTCCTCTCTGAAATCAATAAAAAAATTTTTTTTTAATTTTTTTTCATTTTGTTGCTGTGCTGTTTTTAAGCCTTTAACAATAGTGGTAATAGTGTGAAATCATATCTCTACTCTGCATCCTCTTTCTGTCTTCTTCTAAATCATATCTCTACTCCACATCCTCTTTGTCTTTTTATTCCTCTTCTCTTTCCTCTTCCCCTTTCTTCTTCCCCCTCTCCCTCCTTCTGCCCTTCCCCCTCCCTCTCCTTCCTCTTCCTCCTCTTCTTCTCCTTCTTCTTCTTCTTTTAGGGAATTTTTATAAGAGTTTATTTGATCCAAACTGATGACATGCCTGGAAGCAAGATCTCAAATGCTTCCAGCATCCTCTATCTTTCAAGTAATAGGAAAACAGGATACCATTGGTCATATTCCTTATTATTTCATTGTCCAACATTTTTCCTGGTTCTATTTTCTCAGCTATTCTACAAATGTCTCCAACAACAAAGTTTTTCTTTGGAACAGCAATAACTCACCTGAAAATGATGTTCGTGTGGGAACTGATGTCTTTGCCTCCATACATAGAAGTGATCCAGGAGGGCCTTGGTTTCACACCCCACTGTTTAAAACAATCATCTGAAAATGTCTTCAAGTCCCACAGATAAGGTTCAAACATGTCATCAATACCATTGGTACAAAAGGGCATGACCATTTCTGTGCAAGCCTGAAAAAGCAACCCATAAGAGTCTAGTGAAAAAAGAAGGCACAAAGAAGTTAAATAAATTGTCCAAAGTCATACACTAATAAGCAACGAACACAGAGTTTGAATTCAGGCAGTCTGGCTTCAGAGTTCCTGCTCTTTACCTCTGTGACATACCACCTCTCTTGCTCCTGGAAAGGCTCAGATGAGAAATCACAGAAGTTAGAGCTATATGTATATTCCTTCTTTGTAAACTGTTTTTCTTTCACATCTATTATCATACTAGAGGCCTGGTGCATGAAATTCATACACTGGGGGAGGGGGGTCTGAACCCAGCCTGTACCCTCTCCAATTCAGGATCCCTGGGGAGATGTCCGACTGCCTCTTGCAATCAGGGACCGCTGGCTCCTAATTGCTCACCTGTCTGCCTGCCTGATCACCCCTAACTCCTCTGTCTGCCTGCCTGATAGCCCTTAACTGCTCCCCTACTGGCCTAATCACCCGTAACTGATTCCCCTAACCGCCTCCATCTCACCCCTCACTCAGGTCCCAGGATTCCCTCCTCTGGCCAGATGCAGGCACCCAGAACCCGGCCAGCTTCTCCCAGGCTGGCTGCAGCTACTGGGGACTGTGGCTGGGTGGCTTTGCCCAGGCCACAGCTGCAGGCACCCAGGACCACAGGGCAGGCACCTTGCCCTATCCCAGGCTACAGCCCCAGCTGCTGGAACCCAGGACTGTGGGGTGTGTGGCTTGTCCCTCTCCTTGGCCAGGCTGCAGGTACAGGCACAGCCACTGGTGCTCAGGACTACAGAGTTGGCAGCTTGCCCCTCTCCCAGGCCACAGCCTCAGCCACTGGCGCCTGGGACCATGGGGCAGGCAGCTTGTCCCTCTCTTGGCTATAGTCTGGCTGGTCCCCATTCCTCTCTTGCAAGCTCATTTGTGCCTAGCTGGTCCTCATTCCTCTCTCATGAGCTCATCTGTGCCTGGTTGGTCCCCATTCCTCTCCCCCAGTCAGCATGAGGACATGAGAGCATGAGGGTGTGATGGCCATTTGCATATTAGCTCTTTATTATACAAGATCAAATCTTCAAAACAACTCTGGAAAGAAAATATTATTATTCTCATTGTACAGATGAAAGAACAAAATATCAGAAAGAATCAAGTTAGACTCCCCTTCATTTATGTGTCCATAAAATTTTTCCTTTATATGACTTATCAAAATCTATTATAATATTGATTGTGCTTCTTTTTAAAAAAGCTACATTTGATAGTAAAATCAATCATGTCTTACTTATCTTTGTATCTGTGGAGCCTAGAAGGGTGCCTAACCCATGATAAATACTCAGAATATATTTGGCAATGATTAAATACATGAGTGAATGAATAAATGAGGACACTTATCATGGCTTCAGAGAGAGACCACATAGAGATCCAGGTTAGGTGATAAAATCTTGTGAACTCTGTTACAGCACAGCCATAGCAATGAAAAGTAAGTTCCACTTGGAGAAATCATACATACTTACCTGATAGCTCCAACCCAGGGATCCCAGACTGCTAGTTGATGTCTCTGACATATTCAGGCATGTTGCCTGGCCTGAATAATTGTAATATACATTCAGAGCATGGAAAATATTCTGCAGCAACTCTTTATCTGATAAATTGGAATTTTTCAAATACTGGCACACCACCTGTCATTTTAGAGAAATAAAAAGAAGAGTCAGAATATAAATCCTATCTAATAAAAAAGCAGTATGCAAATTGACCATACTTCCACTACACCCCAAGCCACATCAACCAGCTAATCAGGAGCAAGTATGCAAATTAATCCAACCAAAATGGCAGCAGCCATAGAGAAAGCAGGAAGCTTGAGTTGCCCCCAGCAATGGAGGAAGTCAAGCTTTCCACCCCCTCTGGCCTGCCTTGGCCTCCATTCAAAGCTAAAAATTTCAATTATAGAAAATAAATAAATCCCAACAAAAATGGCAGCAGTCATGGAGCTGGAAAGAGCAGGAGGCTTGAGTTGTCCCTGGCAATGGAGGAAACTAAGCTTTCCAACTGCCCTGGCCTGCCTTGGCCTCCACTCAAGGCTACAAAGTTTCAATTATAGAAGATAAATAAATCCCAACAAAAATGGCTTTGGTCATAGAGCAATCAAGAGGCTTGGCTCTGCTCAAGGCTACAAAGTTTCAAGTATAGAAGATAAACAAACCCCAGATACCAGGCCTCCACTTGAGTTGCCTGGGGGTGTGGTTGGCCTGCAAACCACCACAGGCCCCTCACCCAGGCTGTTCCAAGCCCCAAAGGAACCCCACCCTGATCTGGGACATCCTTCAGGGCAAACTAGCTGGCCCCCACCTGTGCACCAGGCCTCTATCCTATCTAATCCTATCTAACAAAGGAGTTATATGCAAATTGACCATCACCCCAACACACAAAATGGCTTCCCCCATTTGGTCAAAGATGACTGCCCCCAAGTGGACACAAAATGGCCACCACAAGATGGCCAGCATGGGAGGGCAGTTGAGAGAGACCAGGCCTGCAAGGGAGGGCAGTTGGGGACGATCAAACCTCCAGGGGAGGGCAGTTAGGGGTGACCAGACTGGCAAAGGAGGGAAGTTGGGGGTGACCGGGCCTGCAGAGAAGGGCAGTTGGGGGGGACCCAGGCCTGCAGGTAGAGCAGTTGGAGGTAAAAAGGCCTGCAGGGAAGGGCAGTTAGGGGCAAACAGGCTGGCAGGGAAGCAGTTAGGCATCAGTCAGGCTGGCAGAAGAGTGGTTAGGGGCAATCAAGAAGGCAGGCAGGAGAGCAGTTGGGAACCAGCAGTCCTGTATTGTGAGAGGGATGTCCGACTGCCCATTTAGGCCCAATCCTACCGGGACCAGGCCTAAACAGGAGGTTGGACATCCCTCGAGGGGTCCCAGATTGGAGAGGGTGCAGGCTGGGCTGAGGGACACCCTCCCTGCACGAATTTTGTGCACTAGGCCTCTAGTGTAATAAATAAAAGGGTAATATGCTAATTAGACCAGGTCAACCAGCCATCTTCCAGACACCCAACTTCCTTCTGAACAAAGCATGGTGGTGGGAGCCAAGGCAGAGGCAGTTAGGGGCAATCAGGCTGGCAAGGGAGGACAGCTGGGGGTGAGTTCAGGTCAGCAGGGGAGGACAGCAGGGGGTGAGATCAGGCCAGCAGGGGAGGGCAGTTGGGGGAAAACAGGCCAGCAGGGGAGGACAGTTGGGGGTGAGATCAGACCAGCTGGGAGGGCCATTGGGAACAAGATCAGGCCTGCAGGGGAGGGCAGTTAGGGGCGATTAGGCAGGCAGAGGCAGTTAGGGGCAATCAGGCAGCAGGCAGGTGAGCAGTTAGGAGCCAGTGGTCCCAGATTATGAGAGGGATGTCCAATAGGAGAGGGTGCAAGCTGGGCTGAAGGAACACATCCTCCCCCGTGCACAAATTTTGTGCACTGGGCCACTAGTAGTATAATAAAACAAAAGACATAAGACTTTGATTTGATCATTAAAATATATGCATTTAACTTATACTACTTGATAATTTCTATCTTTTGAGTATAATCCCCTTCACAGATTAATAAACCTTTTAACTACTCCTAAACTATAGAAGTAAACCGAAGTCATTTGCATAGCATGCAAAGTCCTTCCTATCTACCACTATAGTTTTAACTCCTGCAACTTTTTTTTTTTAATATATTTTATTGATTTTTACAGAGAGGAAGGAAGAGGGATAGAGAGCTAGAAACGTCGATGAGAGAGAAACATCGACCAGCTGCCTCTTGCACACCCCCTACTGGGGATGTGCCCGCAGCCAAGGTACATGCCCTTGACCGGAATCGAACCCAGAACCTTTCAGTCCGCAGGCCAATGCTCTATCCACTGAGCCAAACCGGTTTCGGCTTAACTCCTGCAACTTTTGCTACAGCATAGCAAAATCATTTCCAACCCACTGAACTCTTTCCTTCCTTTTTGCTTTTGCACATCCCTTCTCCCTCTCTCCAATTCACCTAATACCTTGCAAACACCAACTCATCTTCCACAATACTTGAGCCTCATAAAACTACTGAGCCTCAAGTATCACCTCCCCCTGTGAGGTCATTATTACCTATGTCCCTCACATCAGGAGGGCTAAGTCACTCCCTCCTTCATGCTTCACTATGTCCTGTGCCTTTTCTATCAGAGCATGCTTTACAGCACTCATTTGATTCCAGAGTGTCTCTCTCACCACTTAATTAAGCAAGATATCTAGTAATTAAGTATTTGCTGAATGAATGACTACAACTTTATAAAAATACAAAATTTATAAAATTTTTAATGGAAAAACTATACAAAGCTCCAATGTCTCTGGTGTGATAAGCAGATCAGACAGCTCCCCAGCTCCCAAATACTCCCATCATTGGACTATACTCAGTACCTGCAATTCAGTACTAAAACTCAAAGACAATCCTCAGGGTGGGAAAAGAAGGCAGGGTCTATCTAGACAGGGACATGGAAAGCTTACAAGGATATATAAATATTCCACGTCTTCCTAGAGGTCTAGGTTACACAACAAACAGTACACTTACAATTTGTACATTTTACTCTATGTAAATTTTACCTAAAAAAAAAATCAAACAAATACTCAACTCTAGTTAAAGACATTAAAGTTGATTTTAGAAAGTGTGTTGATGTCTTCAACTTAATTTTGAAATGCATTTAATAATAAAATAAGATGAAGGATAAGATAGAAGGATGGATAGGTGAATCCATTTGATATAATTTACCAAATATAATAAAATATTATTTATAGAATTTAGGTGGTACGTTTTTAGGTATTCACTGTCCAATTATTTCAACTTTACTGAATTTTTTTACAATAAAATGCTGTGGGGAAATCACAGGTAATAGAATCAAAGCTGAATAATAACAATAGCAACAATGATAGCTACTGATTACTGAGCCCTAGTTTACAACCATTACATCACTTAAGCCTCAAACAATCTTATCAGATGTATTATTATCCAGTATTTCACATGAAGAAACTGATTCTTAGGTTAAATCACTTTATTCAAGGTCATCCAGCAAGTAAATGGTCGGACCTAGGTTCAACACCAGATGTCTCTGGTTATGAAATATACATCTTACTCATCATGTTACACAGCTTAAGTTGTATACCCTATAAAACTGTCAAGAGCACCAATGGCAAGAAAAACACATTATGTTTCCATCTTCTATTAACACCTTCACATAAATTCAGTGATCTGGTCCTTTCTCATTTCAGATAAAAAAACATATATAACAGGTAAGTTCTGACCCAAAATAAATAAATAAATAAATAAATAAATAAATAAATAAATATATATATGAATTCTGAAAAGAAGAAGCCTGGAAAAAAAGGAACTCAGCTACTTCACTTTAGAGAGAGATTCTGGGCAGGAGGAACAACCAGAGTTGGTCTGGGCATATGCTCCCAGTCAGGAAAGGAGGACACTGAGAAAGAAGTAAGTGGCCACAAGCAAACACAGTCTCTCAGCACAGTTCTGCCTATAAACAGTTTCCAGTTACACTTTCCTGGAAACTTGAAACAGAGAAAATTAATTACACAAAAATATTAAATGCCTCTCTGCAAATCTATTCAGCACAATATTTCTATGAAATGTTAAATGATAGTGCGTGATATAAAAGATTTTAGAAAACTTTAGAAAATGAATGAGCAAATGTGAAGTTCTCTTGACTGTGGGATTTCTCTGAGTCTGCAACATGCTTAATTACAATGTGACTTGCCAAAGGAAGATAGAGTATGCATTTTCCCCATAAGTTTTCTATAATATTGAGTATGAAAAAAGTCAGAAATTAAGATGTCAAAATAACTGGACTTATTGTACTTTAAAACAGTAACTGTGAAGTCATAGACCAAGGTTTAAGGTATGTTATACATAAAGAAATGAGTTATGCTAAACTGAGAGCCTCTGCCACTTAAAATAAGTAAATGCAAGATTAAGAAAAAAGGCAAAACAGTGTTTTACTATCCTGACAACTCTCAATCATTCATGGCAAGTAAAAAACATACCTAATTATATAGCACTTTTCTTAGAAAGTGTTCCTAAGAAATATAAGAATCAGAAATAACCAAGAAAATATGGAAATCAAGAATCAATCACAGAATTCATTCAACTGCCTATTTCCAACAGTTGATCAGCAATCTTTCCTGTATGTGGACACCAACAGTGGATCCAGCTCTTTCAAAATGCAGTACAAAACTACAGAGTAGACACATAGAATGTAGAGAAGAGCATTATGACCAAGCACAGCATGGTAGATGAGACAGGGTGACAATGGAAGCTGGGCAGGGGGAATGGGGTGCTGATGTGTAGCAGTAAATGGCCTCAAACTCTAGAAAAGAATAGTCGCAAGTGAGCGTGACTCACATGTTGGCATCAGATCCCCTCTCAGCACTAGAACACTGGGCCTCTGTCAGGCGAAGAAAAGGAGTTCCCATGAATAGCCATCTCTACAAATAGCAGTTATCCTTAAAAGACACAAGTAAGGCTGGGGACTGGCACCACTTGACAATACTTAGGGTTTCAGCAGCCCCCGTTACACAAAGAGAAAGATCATGGTCTTAAACTTGGCCTCTGATAGTAGAAATTCCATGTCCAGCTTGCTGTCCACTTTGAAGTCAGAGCACCCTTGAAGTACTCG